GGACCCCGGGGGCACGAAAAATGCGCACCCCGGCCCCAAAAAAGGCAAGGCTACGCGTACCTCTGGGGCCTGGGGTCCTGGGGGAAGCAAGGCTCCCCCCTAAGAACGAACGGCTTCTGCTTACAAAAAACCTAGACGCTCCTTCGTAAGGGTTTTTTCCGTGATCATAGGGAAACGCTGAGAAACCCCTGAAAGAGCATTTTGATCCGTCACCTCTTCAGTCACGCATACTTTTTAAAGAAACGCATGGAAATGAAGATTGCCGCTGCTTGGAGGCTCCGCGGCATATGCATGATGGTTGGCTTAGCTACTTTGGAGCTTTTTCAACCTATAAGTCTTTATCCTGGGCTATTATATATGCATATCATATGATTTACCGATATAGACTAGAGGGAGTCATTCGGCAGAAAGTGCTTGGTGACCGCGATGCTGGAGTCCTGCGACGGTGTGCCCGGCTGGTTTCTACTGCTGCATGCTTGCATCTGCATGATTTCGAAGCTGTGAGTGCAAGCGATTCTCTCTGTTGCAGAATGATGGCTTCAGTACATATAGGGCCCTATGTATATGTTTTTCGGTAGCTTCGCAGCAAATACTGCATGGCCGGGATTTAACACGGAGTTCTTTCCAGATTGCACAGATTGCATGAATACATGCATATTTAGGCAGTAGCTTTGCACTGCTGTGTGCACAATGCCGTCGACCTTGGCAGAGACCTGGCGAAGCCTGAATGGCATGGAAGAACGCGGGGCTTCTGGACGACTCATAGTGGGTCCAGTGAATCTGCAACGGGTGGATTTGGACTTCAACTGGGATATAGTCGGTCATGCTATAGTGTGGTCTGGCTGTCGACCGAGCATCGAGCCACTGGCGGATCAAGTTGCTGACTTTTTTCAGATGACTCGGCCTCGTGGCAAGGCCCCCTGCTCCCGAAACACGGCTGAAGTACGATGCACTATGTAGCTTTCTACTGCTAAATCAAATGCAGCGAGTATGGCTAGCTGAGGCGATTTCTGCAAAAATGCCGCTTGGCGAGTTCGGAACTTGATTACCCTATTTTGTGCGATCGCGAAAAGGCCTCACAGGCCAAGGGAACCGAATATCATCAAGATCTACAATTTGGTGGGCATCAAGGTTCCTGAAGGCCCGGTCGTATTATGCACGCTAAGGGGTTTGAGGTATTTAGGGCTTAGATAGGGCTTGGGGTTCCCGTTTGTAAGGTTGCTGAAGCTCTATCCGGGATCGATGGTGATGTGCATCTTCTATACTTTAACATATATCTCCGGAACCCTAGCCTAAGTAACCGTAGCTAGCTAAACCCTTAATCCTCGATCGGAGCAGGTCGTTCGCCGGCTTCTTCTGCTGCTCTTGAGGACGAGGCCTGATCGACGGTGGGGTGTTTAAAGTACGGGTTTTGGGCTGTAGGCTTAAGTTTTGTGGGCAAGTCTTCTGCATGCATATGTACATATATAGTACATGTGTGTGTGTGCTTCTGAAAATGCATGCATGTGTCTAGCAGGAGGAATGGTACGATGCTGAAGAAGAGCATGAGGAAGAATATTTAAGTGAGGATGAAGTCGTGGATCCGGATGCGGTTGGTAGTGGTGAGCCAGCAGCCCCTGAAGCCCACCCAGTCCCGACAGCAGCCTTGCACGTGCATCCGCACCGTGCCATGACCAGTGCCTTGCTTCATTTATGTTCCCGTTAAGCTTGTGCGATTGCCAAATCCCAGATCGATCGGAAGCATACTTAAGCCCATCTAAGGTGACTCCGTGACCACAGCCGCTTCGACGACTCCTTCGCCAAGCAGGCTTGCAGTTGTCCCGGCCCTATCCGATTCGCCGGAGCCTTCGCCGCCATCCACAGCCCCTGCCCTATCCGATTTGCAGACCCCTCCGCCAAACAGCAAGCCTTCAGCAGAAGTCCCGACCCCAACCGACGAGAAGGAGCCATGTGCACGCCGCACGAAACAGCTGATGCTCGAAGCCTTGAACGAGGAGTGTGAGTTGCTAGAGTTGCTCCTAAAGAAGAAGCAAAAGCTAGCCGTCGCAGATGCTGGGGCACGGGGCAGCACCTCCGCTTGAACAGCCATGCATGCCATGTGTAGTATACCGGTACCGTGCCCACATATCATTCAACTCAGGCAATATGGACCAGACCGAGACGCTGCCGATGATGCCCGCAGAGGCCGATGAGGTCTTGCAGGAAGCGAAAGTCCAGGTTGGTTCTTTTGAGCAGCGAATGCAACAGTTGGCATATGAGGAGCCCCCCCAGGTGCCATACTTCCAGGCCCGAACACTAGCCATGGAAGCTGATGCTGAAGCTACGGAAGACATTCCTGTCCCATTGCCCCAGCCTACGGAGAAAGCTGACGAGCCCGAGACCCCGTGTCTTAGTCCGAACGAAGCTGTGCCACCCCAGGAGGTAGCACAGGAGGTTGAGGAGGTAGCACCGGAGCCACGCCAGAAGGTAGCACAGGAGCCACGCAAGAAGGTAGCACAGGAGCCACGCGAGAAGGTAGCACAGGAGCCACCCCAGAAGGTAGCACAGGAGCCACGCGAGAAGGTAGCACCGAAGCCGAGCCATGCACAGGAGCCGAACCCATCCCAGGAGGTGGAAGCATCCCTAGCAGAGGCAGACGAGGCCAAGGTCCCGATCAGCAAAGGTGGGAAGAAGAGAAAGACCAAGCAGCAGCCAGCAAAGGAGAGCCGGGAGGAGCTACTAGTGTCAAAGCCTGACTGTGTGAAAGGACTTCCAGTGCTGTCCCCACGTGAGCAGGAACAGCAAGTGCGAGCCGTCTTGCAGGAGCAGGGGGCAACAATATTGCCGAAGAAGAATAAGAAGAAGAAGGCCCCCTCAAAGGAGGCCCTCGGTGATACGCTGGACGCCGAAGTCCCGAAGACAAGCAAAGGAAAAGGAAAGGGGAAGAAGAAGGGAAAGGGGAAGCATAATGATCCAGAGCCCAAAGCCACCAACAACAAGAAGCAATCGAAGGAAGCAGAGGAGGAGGACGAGGAGCCACAGCCCAAAGCCACCAAGAAGAAGCGAGCGAAAAAAGCAAGGGAGGAGCCACAGCCCAAAACCACGAAGAAGAAGCGAGCGAAGGAAGCGAGGGAGGATGACGAGGAGCCACAGCCCAAAGCCACTAAGAAGCGATCGAAGGAAGCAAAGGAGGAGGGCGAGGAGCCACAGCCCAAAGCCAACAAGAAGCGATCGACCAAGGATGCAAAGGATGAGGGCGAGGAGCCACCGTCCAAAGCCAGCAAGAAGAAGCCAGGGAAGGAGCCATCGCAAGATGAAATCTTGGAGGAACGCCGCATGCGAAACTCTCGCAAGAGCGGGGCATACCACAGTGCAAGGAATGCTGCTATTAAAAGCGGTTTGAGTGAAGCTGAAGCCAAGAAGAAGGCACAGGAGGTATCTTGTATGAGATGCTATTATGTCATGTTAACATTAAGTTGTCATGAAGTCATGTCTTGTGGCTGCATGCACACTCTCGCTGTTTTCTGTGCGAGAACTATCCAAGGCATACAAGAACACGAAGTGACCGCTGGTGACCGCTGTAGAGTCATCCGTGTGCTTCCACATGTGTTGGCCTCTTTTTCTATGCCGAGTTTTCATGCAATGCAGGGTACATGTTGAGGGGTGAAACTCAACCTCTGAATCCTTTACCACTTTACGTGTGGATAGCTTCGCACGCTGCTTGCTTGGGCTTCTGCAGGCCTAGGGGAGACGGGCCTAAGTGCACATATATGATCCAATCCTGAGCAGCAGTGTGCACGCGAGCTTGACGACGATAGACGCTGCACCGCAGTCCGAATGAGAGCTGGCAGCAAAAGTGTTGATCGATGTGCATTTCGAACTGCAAGAGTGCCACGCAAAGCTTCGTACATAATAAAATATACGTAGCATGTGTGAGACTCTACACATGTGGTGGCCAGGTGCTTGGTATGTGGGGACTACTTCAACCTCCTGTTGCACGATGCCAAGCAGCTGCTACATGTGACCCCCCACATGTATAAGCTCCTGTATCCAAAGCCTTCGAAGATTCACACATTGTGCAGGTACGCCTTCTGAAATCTACATGCATTGCTTCAGCAGTGCAGGCCGGAGAGTACGCACGGTTATTGTTAAATCGGCGGGACCCTAAACCCTAAACGCTAAACCATAAACCTTATTATTCATAAACCCTAAACCCCTAGATGTATACAATCCTCACCACAGATCTTACACCTAAAGCCCAAGCATTGCTCATCTCACCAGCAGTGTCGCTTCTATTTCGCGATTCAAGCCCGATACATAAACCCCCAAAATGCCCCAACTATTCCGGAGGTGCCTCTTCCACTTGGATCTCGCACGTGGCCTTCTGCGACCTGGCATGGCATTCCGTCGTGCAGCAAGATCAGGAGCTGAGGGTACACCCCGCCCTGCTGTGTGTGCCTTTGCTGTGCTGGTATGTGTGAGATGCAGCTGATCCGTACATGTGTTGGGCTGAAGACTCATGAGCGAGTATGTGCATTGCAATGGTGCCGACTTCTCTTATGTTTGCACTCCGCGAAAGCTGCTCGGTTGCCCTGCAAGCGAGAATGCATTCTAGGCTTAGTTTATACTCGACCCCTAAACACCCGTTGCTCACTGCTTTCCTACAGGTTTCCTATATCATTCGGTGTCACATTCCTGGCTAGATGGAAGCAGCTGCTTGGCACCACTTGCATGGCTGGATGGCCTAGCTACCAGGTGTATTTGCAAGGGTGGCATAAACTTCGAAGATCGGTTCATGCATGATTCGCTCAAGCCAGCACTGGACTAATATTCCTGCAGTGCTTCCTACGTGCAAATCCGAGGAACCGTCGACTCCGGCTACGGGCTCTGTGGCGAGTCCTATATGAGGAGTTTGAGGTGTCGCGAGTGGGGTCCGGGTCGAAAGGATGCACACCCTAAACCCCTAAATCCCTAAATCCCTGGAAGCTTAATATATTAGTCGGTACGGTTCGGCAGCTGGTGGCAATCAGGCTGAGTTTTGGTCTCGATATCGAATCTAAAGCTATCCAGTTATCCTTCATGGAAGCCAACCCGAGCAAGCCTAAACAACCTGATCTGTCGATCCTATATGGCTACCGACAGACGATACAGGTCCTACTTCCAAACCCATAGGTACCTTTCCTAGCTAGGTGGGAGGCCAACAAACCCAAACCCCAAACCCAAAACCCGCATACTATATTAATCCCCCCAAAGCCCTTCAAAAGCGGATCCGATCGTGAAATCCATATATGTATGCTGATCCCGAACCCATGAGCCCTAACTGCACGCAGGAATGCAACGCCTGTGGACCGGCACGTGGACTCTGAGACCTGTGTGGGGTCTTAAGGTTCTTGCAAGTATATGTAGGTAGCCTAAGGCCTAGGGGTGTCTAGCTAATGTCGGTGTGTAAAAGCTAGCTAGGAAAGTGCTCGTGTGTGGAACCGCACTGTTCGATGATGTACGGTGGCAACATCGAAGACTTAGGTCCTTTCCGTCTCCACGCTGAGTATGACTCCTATAGGTACCACTAGCACGACCACTACGCTAGCACTACTGCCACCGCAACGACAAGCACTACGTACCACAAGCACGACCCAAAACCCCAAGCACGCCAACACCACTACCACCACCGCCACACTTTTGGGCCCGCTTGCCGACCTTCCCCCCTCTAACTTAAGGTGTCCGCCCTCGGTATAATTTGAACCCCTCTAACTTAAGGTGTCCGGCCTCGGACACCTTATAATTTGAACCAAGAATCACCACCACCACCACCACCACCACCAACCACCACCACCGCCACCACCACCACCAGCAGCAGCAGCAGCAGCACCACCACCACCAGCAGCAGCAGCACCAGCAGCAGCAGCAGCAGCAGGAGCAGCGAGTGGCATTTTGGCACTACCTGAGGACTTTTATAAGGGGGCTGCGATGATCGTACGCTGATGACTTTAGCGAGTATGTA